GTGGGGTGTTTATCACCGTCATCATACGCACATAAAATCCATTTTTTGGTTGAGAAAATATATATATATTTACGGTGTATAAGCTTTATATATCATCAATGCATCATCAATTATTCATGTTTAATCATTATTGTTTTTTAGAGAAAAAAACAATATAAATAAATGATCAACATAATGAATGTATATTATTTTTTTCAATTGTTATTGTGCTATTACTTTGTTTGTTTATGTTTTTTTTCATAGTGTTATGAAAAGAATAACTCTTGAATGGCTATACCTATGCCTATACCTAGAAGCTTATGCGTCTTGTATCTAAATTGGGGTGACGTTTTCTATCTTTTATCTATTACATTGTGGTCCAAAATGTACTACAACTTACCTCTTTGGGAATAGAAAATTTAATCTAGAATTTTAGACACTTTGAGTCATATCATTTGAGCTACTTACTTCAAATGATACATACAAATTGTACAAAAGCAAATATAAATCTCTTTAACATTATTAACATATTGAAAGCAGTTCAAATACAAATACACAATTTATTTGGTACATAGTTGGTCACTTTTCATAATAATAATATTATTATTTAATCCGAAAAAGGAATTAATCAATATTATTACTTATTAGAAAATTTCTTAAGTAAAGTTGGTTGGTAACAGGAGAAATGAAACAATAAATTTGGTATGCAATATGCAAAGTTAGTGAATGAATCTAATAACTATTATCATATAAGCAGAAAAAGTCATCCATAACCAAAGTTGTATTAGGCTCACCAGGTAAACTATCACCAAAATGTGAAGATGGACAAAATGTAGTTTCAAAAAAATGATTAGCCATATATATAATCTTTCCAAAGCTTGTATTCTTATACTTTGAACCTTTCATATGAGGAAGTTGTGTATGGCCTCTTTTCTTCTCCAACTTTACAAACTGATTGAGACTATAAATATTTTACATATCACTCAGTATATCATCTTTTGTTCATATATATTATTTTAAGAGTTAATATATTAAAAGTAGATGATGTGTTGACAAATATAAAAAACTCTTATATAGTATATCATTGCATAGGTTTTAAACTTGTGTATTATTATTCTTTGGTTTTTTATATGACTTTGGATTTGCTTGAATTTTCTCTTAAAAGAATAAAGTCAAATAGTGAACATAAAAGTCTTAATAAAAAAACACCCCTTTATTATCAAGGTATACTTAACCTGAAGTTTTAATGGCAAATCTTTGGCAGAAATTTGATGCATAGAAAACAAAGGAAATTAATGTGATAGTATTTTATGGGTGAAATTGTTGCATATGACTTACCTACCAAGCTTTTGGTCCTAAAGTTCCCCCTCCTGCAAAACTAAACCAGATTTTTATTTGCAACAATGATATATTACCAAGTCAAATATTTGTTTTAACAAATAATTTAAATAAAAATATTTATCACATTCTTTATTATTATTTTTAATTAATATTATATATATATATAAATAATTTTTTTGGTGTTTGGTTTAATTAATGAATCATTGGTTGAATCGTTATACTACCATATGAATATCTTGACCGGAACAGTAATATAAAGTAAAAACCTATTATTTGATTTTATTTTAATTAATTTAACTTAATTTAAAATTTTATTTTAACTTATAACAACATTAAGCTTTATACTTAAGACTTCTATATTTCTACAAAATTTCCTTCTAATTTATTGGATTTAAATACTTGTATCTTTGTATGAACTCGTGATAATTGTGGGGTTTGTGGGGACAATGAAAATGAAGACAGAGAGAGAGAAAATGCTCTCTTATGCAAAGGAAGTAAGAACTCCTAACTAGTGATAAAAGGTAAATATTCTAATTGTTCAAATAAATAAAAAAATTGAAAAGAATTAGTATGAACCTATAATATCTTCTTTAACTTTTGCACTTTCTTCTTTAACGCCGAATGAAACATCTAAACATTATAAAGTATAAAGAACTTTGAGGTACCACTTTTTTTTTCTTTTAATTCCATTCGCCCACTAAAAATATTTCTATGTAATTTATTGACCCTCTATTCTACACTTTCTCAAGCTTGATTAGTAATTTTTATTTGGACGTCAAAGTAGTTAGAAATATTAAAATAGCAATGTGTTGACATTTCATATGGTTCACCATTGAAGCAATTTGAGGGCTAACTTTAATTGTAGAATATGGATTTATCTAACCAATAAATTTATGAAATTCTTGCAATATACAGGTTTAAATGATCCATTCCGATGCCTATATTCTGTTAGTTACAACCACGATTCAACCAAAGTTGCATCTTCTTCATATATCTTCTTCTTTATAGAACAAATACAATACTTCAAAGTAAGTTAAATTCAAACATCAAATTTAACATTACATCTATATCTATATTAAATGAAAAGTGCAAGGCACAAGCTACTAATATATACTATTAATAATAAGCAAATGATTTATCAACAATGTCCACAACTTCATCTATTGAACGTTTCCACTGCTAAATCATCTCTACATTTACCTCATGCATCACTTGGCTCATATCAATGTCTATAACATCATTAGAGGATTCAACTTCTCTTAAATTCCTTTCTAAAGAATCCACAATCATTTATGGTTATTACTTTTCCATGATTTTCCACAATTGTAGTAAATGTAACATAATTGTAACATCAATTTAAAACACTATTCCCACTACAATAGTAACTATTTCATCCTTCATTGTTCTATATCATGTGTTGTCTACTTCAAGTGGATTGATTTTAATGTACGTGGCTTCAAGAACTCTTAAACAATTCTATACATAGTAATGTTACAATTAATACTACATTGACAAGGAATTTTAAGTCCCAAATGAGTAAAACAAAAAATGATAATTTATGTTGTTTTTTTTACTACGAAGGGTATCTCGTCATCCTATGAGTAATAAACTAATATCTTCCAGAGTATGTGGTTGTCTCTTCCAATAAATGTTACTCTCAGGAATTTAATAAGGTTGTTTTAAGAATCCATTGTGATACCTTACAACTTGCATGGATGAAATCTATGGCTCATGGTAGAATTCTGATTAACCTATTAACAGCTAGCCCTAGGTCAGATATATAATTATCATGAATGAATCAAACCTTTCATAAAAAAATTAAGAAAGGACAACATGCAAGAGGGATGCATGTTCAAAGAATGTGACACCTTTCAAAAGTAACATCACAAACTAGAGATAGGTGTGAATCTAGTAGTTTCTTTGTCCAAATTCGTGAACATATGATTAATTATTTGCATTGTGATTAAATTAAATAGAGTTTAATTAGTTTTCTTCACCTAAAAAAGGGTTTAGTTCTCCTTTATTTGGGGCGTTTGGCATCACATGAACAATGTGGTCCATGATCTAAAAGGAAAAAACATAAAATAAAAAAATAATATGCTTATCCCTAATCATTATAGCAACCATAGTTATAAAAGTATTTCCATGAGCCTAAAAGACAAGTTTGATATTAAAAAGTCTAAAAAAATATAAGAGAATGTACGGTTGGGTAAATTTATGTGGGGCATGCAAAGCAATAATACTAAACAAATAAATAATGCCAGTCAAGCATACACCCAAAATATCAAACCATTATGAAATATTTAAAGAATCTCTAATATGAATGGAAATTTGTAGTTTTTATAGTCTCAAATCACTGGCCTTCCATGAGTAAAAGAATCATTGCTTTTAGGCTCCAAATGGGCATAAACAAATTAAGAAATATGAACATAATGTACTACTTGGATGAATTACTGAGAAAATACAATCATATAATCAACCAGTACATTTAAATGGAAATGAATAGGCGGAATCATTTATAAGTCCTTCAAGTTAATTTTATTGGGATAAGCAACATTTTGGAGTCGCAATTACGTTTTTTTTTAGTTAAAACTTAAAAAACTTTCTTTTATGCCCAATTTAGGATAAAATGATTTTTTTAATAAAATTGTGAGTTTGAGAGTCGATTACATATCAGAAAAGATATCAGCTATCGTCCTCCCAAAAGAAATGACACTCTAGCTAATTGTATGGATTAATTTTGTTTTTACTTATCTCTATATCCATTAGGAAATCAAAACTACGTAGTTCTAAATTTAAAAAACTTATATTTCATTTGTTTGGTTCAAAAATATAATTGGTCGGTTAAAATTGATTCACTTCAAGAACGGTGAAGCAACAAAAACTAATGTTCGCAACACATTCTATCTCAAATAAGTATTTTCAAATAAATAATTTAAAGTTTATTCACTTTAAAAATGGTGAAGCGGGAGAAACTAATATTTGCGCCATATCATATCGCAAAAAGATCTATATATCTATATTAATTGGAAGGGCTGAGGAAGTTACCAAAATGAACATCTTATATGCTTGACACCTGACTTATTTAAGGGTATAATTGTCATTTGCTTTTAAGTTTAAATAAACTATTAGATAAACACGGATTCCCTAAAATAACCCTCATTATATTTTATTTACTATTACACAGTTAGGGATATTTTTGTATATTACATTTTTTGAATTACTAAAGTTTGTAAGCATTTATTACCGCAAGGCGATAAAATACTAAAAACTCCTTCCAATTTACCAAAGGTTTGCTTTTAAGGAAGAGTTATTTTTGTAAAATCAAGCTCACTCTTTCCACCTACTCATTTCATCTTTCTCACTCTCTCTCATCTCTCTCAACATTTTCTCATCATCACTCACATCATCTTCTTCTTTTTAATCTTTTCTTCCTTCTTCTTTCTACTCTCTTCTTCCTCACGGCATCTTCTTTTTTCTATACTCTTCTTTCTTTTAATCTTCAACGCGATCATCACTCTTCACAGAGGTACACGTATGTCATTGTTTTTGTTTATTTTTTTATTATATTTACGTTTTTCTATTCGTCATTTTTGTGTTCGAGGTAAAAGGTATTCTTCGTTTTGTTGATCATCTTCTTCAAGGTAAACATACTTATCATCTTTTGTTATATTTTTATTTTTTTCATAAAGATGAAACTTTGACACATACTTTGTTGTTTTTCTTTATTTAATCTGTGATTCTATCGTGTTTTCTGCGAAATACTTTGCATGCATATGGTTTGTGTTTCTCCATTGTATTTATTTTTTTGTTTTGTTTTGTTTTGTAGATCAGCTTCTTCAAGGTAAACATATTTTTCTTTATTTTTCGTTTATATTGATTTATATATTCTTGAAGATGACTTTCATGGTTGCATGTTAATGTTTTGTTTCGGATCTGGAATAATTTGTCTCATGGTTCACATGTTAACCTTTAAAATGACACATAGTTTTTGTTTTCGATCTGTAATATTTTTGTCTCATAGTTGAAGTTTTTCTTTCTTTCTTTCTGTAATATTTTCTCTCATTTTAATCATTATCTTCTTTCTCATGTCTACATTTTCAGTTAATTTTTCATTCGAGATTGTGAGGTAAAGCTTCCACCTTTCACCTAAACAAAAAGGTTGTAAAGTTTCTATCTTTGTGGATCAAACTTTTTATACAGTGTCATCTCTGTGTTTTTATACAGTTGAAATGTATCTTCGAATCATACAATATTTTTAAGGTAACATTGCTATTTGATTTTCATATTTCATGGTTATTTGTCCTCATCTTTCTTTAAAGTAACATCTTTAGTAACATGCAATATGCATATTCTGCATTTGATGAACAATCATAAGCTGTAGTTTACCCAAATTACAGCATGTATGATGAACAATAATATTCATTTCATAAGTTCAATATGTCATATACAATTTAATATTATAGTATCTTGAAATATCTATATTCTGCATTTTGATGAAAGTGTTAATTAGTAAATTACTAATAATTATTATATTTACATTATCAATTATTTTAGTTTGATGTTAATCCAAGTGGAAATTATTTTTCTTATTATTCGCATGATAATGCATAACTTATGCCTTAATTTATTTTTTCTGGTCAATCACCATAAAAATTTACAATGATAATGATCATTGGTTTACTTTTAAAGTTCATATTATTTTCAAAATAACTTTGGGAAACACAATTAAATCAACTTAATTACCATATTAATAACAATGGAAGAGACTCCTAGAAAAAAGTAACTTTTCTGCCATCATTTTCAAAATTTAAAACTTGGTACAATTCCATATTATTTTGCATTAAATTTATGTACCATCTCTCTCAATTTCCATTCTAAACGTTTCATTTCTTATTTATTAATATTAAACTTTGGATTTTGGGTGGATGTAGATAGGTATATAGATACTTCACGAATTTGGTTGTATGGAAGAAGAGATATATTAATATTGTCTCATAATAGAATAGAGGGAAAGAACGAAGCAAACATGAATTCATGCATTTGAGTATCCAACTGTGGATCCAAAGTTCAATGATGTTTTCAACAAAGTTATGGTCAATTGTACAACTATAGTTATGAAAAGAGTTCTTGAATTTTACAAAGGTTTTGAGCACATTAATAAATTGGTAGATGTTGGTGGTGGTCTTGGGATAAATCTCAATTTCATTACTTCCAAATATCCTCATCTCCATGGTATTAATTTTAACTTGCCTCATATCATAGAACATGCCCGTACCTATGCTGGTATGATATGATCCTCATTTTATTAGTTTCATTATTTGTTGCAAATTCCTATCCAAATAAGTTTTTTTTTTAATTTGGTGAATTATCCAAAGAAGATTTATAAGTCTTCACAACTTTTGTATAACATGTGATATAAATATATATTAATGTTGCAGGCGTGGAACACGTGGGAGGAGATATGTTTGAGAGTGTTCCTCATGGAGATGCCATTTTTATGAAGGTGAGTTTTTCCTTTTGTAGGCAGGAATTATTTTTCTATAATTTCTCAATATTAAATTCCCATTATTAGTTCCAAGACATTTAAGTTTATAGTAGCCTTAAATAAGAAGTGTATTTTGTGGACTAATATTGTCCTTGGATACTTCACGATTGGATTGATGAGCACTACTTGAAGTTGTTGAAGAATTGTCATAAGGCTACCCATGATGATGGAAAAGTGATTGTTTTAAAAGTACAACATGTGACAGCAATGGTTCATTTTATTAGTTTTATGATACTTTTTAAGCAATGATTCATTTATTGCAACTATATTTCTCTTGCATTATTATTACTCTTCCACCAACTTTTTAAAAGTACAACATGTGACAGGTTGTGACACAACTTCCAAGGTTCATCACATGATGTGACTTTTCACTTATCTCTATTTCTAATATATTTATCTTCTTACACACTCATCCTTTCATTTCTTACACACTCAACCTTTTATTTATACATTAGTTTATGCATATAATATTCATTAAATTATATATGTAAATAACATATATTTATTTATTTTTTGTTTCATTGCATGTCAACATGTTTTTTTCTTCATATCATTGGGAAAATAACTAAATCTATAATCTTCTTTAATAAAAATTGAAGGGGTTGTGACTATTACCAAAATAGTTATCTCATTTAGTTGACACTTAGATTTTATTTAAAGGAGTATATTTATAATTACATGATTTATTAGTTTAGTAAAATAATAAAAGGAGTGTATAGTATATTACTGAAAAGTAAATAACACTTTACTTTACTTATGCTTATACTTGTGGTGTAGTTGTTTGACTCTTTAGATAATAATGGATACAATCAAATAATGTTGATCACAAAGGTGATGTTAAACTCACTTACAACCTTTACTCTATTGTGAAATATACTAACCAACAAATTTTTAAACTCACTTACAACTTTTGGTCTTTCCAAATCATAATATCATGTTGAAAGGTGAAAATCCAATAATGCTATTGAGAAATTTAGACCAATATGAATGATTATGTCGTTTATAAAGGATGGTCAACCACTAAAGATAACAATAAATGACATTTATAAATATGTTTTCCAAAATCTCTAACCTATATTTTACAATTTATTTTACGTCATGTTCCAAACTATTTATCATAACAATTATTTATTTACTTAATATAACAATTTCAATATTATCTCATTCGTTAACAACTCTACATCAACGGTAAAATACATATAAATTATCTTTTATGAGGTAACCCTCCATAATATTCTTATTAATAAATTATGTTGTTATTCCTTAATTAAATTTATGCAAAATACAATATCACCCGTACGAATGCATGAGTATACAAAGTCTTAGTATATTTTTATTGTCATACTGCAAATTTCAAAATCATTATTAGATATGTAAAACCCTAACTATAATGGAAAGTTGATTGAGATAAAATAGGGTCATTCTTCTCATGTAATATTGTGTCTAATCTAGCATTATTCATTATACATAGCATATAAGTTATATCACCGTGAAAGTATTATTTTGTGGTACCTAAAATATCATATAATTTCAGAAAAATTACACCTTTTATTTATGTTGAATAGGCTAATGTTATTTTGACTTTTCGTGCATTTATATTTATGTTATGACAATCAATAAATCTCAAGGTCAATCAGTAGAAAGTTTGAAGTTATATTTACCTAGACGAATATTTAGTCACGATCAATTGTACATAGTTATTTCAAGAGTTAAAAGCAAGAAATGATTGAAGATTTTGATTCATGATAAGGATGGTAACCCATGTAAGGACCCGATTTTCATAACTCGAAAATTCTCTTTTAAAATCCTTATTCGTGAAAGTGAAGTGATTACTTTTGAAAGACATTACTCGAACAGTTTGGAAACTTGAGAGAATATGTTTATAAATTTGCAAGGCGGAAATATTCCAAACACCCTTCATTTCAAAAGCATGTCATTAAACTTCCGTTCAAATATATCCTTTATACAATTACACTTTCTCAAAATTACATTGAATACAAATATTAGATCCACTTCAATATACACTTACAAGAAAGTTGTTTATACATGAATTCACTTTAACATGTTCTTCATATTACAAATATTTATCATATAACATATCAATTACATATTATCCGCTACTCTATCATGTACTCTTCTCCGCAAGTGTCCAATGCGCTACCTTCACAGCCTGAACCCAAATATACAACACATACAAGGAAAGACAGAGGGAGTAAGAACCAACTACGGCGACCGTAGCATGGATTTACATGGAGTAATGACATTAAAGTATTAAAACCACACACATCTAACATCATCATGATATGTATATATCAATCAACACATATTATCCATATTCACCCTATAGTACACATATATCCCATACTATATGTGTTCTATAGTGTGCATACTTATTCATCGCATTTTATCCATATTCACCCTATAGTACACATATATCCCATACTATATGTGTTCTATAGTGTGCATACTTATTCATCGCATTTTATCCATATTCACCCTATAGTACACATACATCCCATACTATATGTGTTCTATAGTGTGCATATTTATTTATCGCGTATTATCCATATTCATCCTATAGGATATACATCCCATAATATATATCCTATGACATGCATATGATTTTCATTCCGAGTATACACTTTTCACATCCTTCACATTCCATAATAATTTACCCTTGATCTTATTCAACAATTCTGCACCGTACAAATAATCACCATACCCCATCGGGCAGGTCGAGTAATCCCTATATCACCTCGGGCAGGTCGAGTTTCTACATTACACTCACATCCATGTCATACACAGTCAACACAAGGCATCTCATTATTTTATCACCATAAATAACATACAACACCTTCATTGTCACAAACATACCTTTATCCATTTTAACACATTCACAGCTCATCACACATTCATTGTTACAACACACTTATACATGTAACGACCCAAATTCTACCCTTGAAAATTTTTCATTTATTTTAATCCTTTCTTACATACAGTCGTCACCTTCATTAAAAACTCTCAAGTATCTTTCTTTGAAAATACTCTTTACCCTATTATATTATCATACAAATTTATGTTGCGGAAAAACATAATTCATTCAGATAGCCTTTATCACATACGTCCAGTTATGGGTTTTCCAGAGTTATAGCGTCCATAACTGCATGTCACCATATTATCTTAATCAGATTACATTTATCCCAAAATACTATCAAATCAACTACAATATCAAATAGCAATAAAGACAATCGAGTAAATAAACACAAAAACTTCCTAATTGAGCTTCATCCTCAAAATCCTTCATTTACCTACAATGGGATTATCATAAACAACACACAAAACAAAAGGGAGTAAGTCATTAGTTCAAAACTAACATCACACGATAATCCACATTTCAAATACAAT